TTTTATAGATGACCTGAACAGATGGTTTATACAGTATTCACTTCTTGTGAACTTTCACAACTTCTTTTACCGACTGTTTTTTTCTTTAAGTGACATAGAAACAGTCCAATAAAATGACCATGACTTTATTTTGGTATGCTCATGCAATTTTTTAATATCCATTTTAGAATTTTTTTAATAGTAGGAAAATCATGGTCCATTACTTGTCAGGTGGGTTTAAAACTACATAAGATACCTCACACTTATTTCATTCACAGAATGAAAGAACAAAATAGCCTAATTTTTATCTTATTTTCTGGGAAATTCTTGTAAAATAACAAGCTAGAATTCAAGAGCTTACCTCTCTATTCTTTCATGAATACCCAGGAGCTTGATCACTTATCTCTTTTTATCTTGGACTTCTTTTCCTGAAGATGAATGATCTTCAAGGACTGCAGCTCTTATTATTATGCACTGGTGTTATTACTTTGTGCTATTGCCCAGTGTCATAGGATGATTTACTTTACCAGATAGCGCGCATGAAAAAAATTTATCATTTTCATTTTTAACATGACAAAGACAGAACTTTGGGTTACTTTCCGTAATTTATATCATCATTCAATCCTTTCCTTTTTGTGGTATCAGGATTAATGTTAGGGCCCATGCTATTCTATTTGCCTGAAGTAGCTTACTTCAGGGTTTTTCTTTCTGTTACTGAGCTGTTCTAAATTCATTAATCCATTTTGATGTCAAAAAGCTATGCAAGGTGTGTAGGAGTGCTCACCAGCCCCATTTAAGGGAAATTTTTTGTCATTTCTGAGCAGATTAGAGAAGGCTGAGAGCTCCAAGTTAAGCTTGTGACTGGGCATCATATTTTCCTAGAATCATGTCTTTGTATTTGAGAGGGAAAAATCCATACACCCATTAGCAAACTTCTGAAAAATAAGCTCTCTGGCAAAATATCAAAATACAGTGTTTCTGAATTAAGCTTAGAATGTATCAGGAGAAAGCACAAAACTTTAATTTATTGAGAATGTTTCACTCAGCCACACTGAATCTGTATTCTGTTTTATCTCAGCTCTAGGCATTATTAAGGCAGAGAACAAATGAAAGAAGGAAGATAAAGGCCTCAGAGAAAGCAAACAAATGTAGGTTAACACAAAAAAACTGAACTGATAGACGAGTAAACTTTATATTTATTCAGAGATGGCAAAAAAATAAGTGAAATTATTTTAAAAATGCAGTCAAAATCAAAGAAAGAGAAGGAACCTTAATCAGTTTCCTTAAGAGTGGGACACTTACTCTTCATGCTTTTGTCTGTACAAGAATTACTAGAAAAAAAAGATGACATCTTAGACTATGAGAGACTGAAATTGTTAATGGGTAAACATTGCTAAAATCATTGGAGGACTTTTGCCCACTATAGCAAACTGCAAAGAAGCAGCTGTTCATCTATGACCACCAAAGTCCACCCCTCTAAGTCCACCACCTACTAACTGGAATTTGGATTGTGACTGGAACTTAAGATAAAGGGCTTGCTACTGTCCAATCATCCCAGGTCTTGGGAGGAGAATGTATCCACAAGTAATACTGGAAGAGAGACTGGAATGCTAAAGTCTCAAACACGTGCCGATGTGCAAAATACCCACCCAAGTGCAGAGGGCTTCCTCGGTAGCATCAGGGACATTATGTGCCTGAAGGGGCTATCTCTGCTGAAATCATGGGCCATATTGAACTAAAGTGCACTGGCATAATAGGCAGCTGTAACGACTTAGACCATCAAAGACTCCTGAAATACGTGTCCCCCCACCCTCCCCCCCACTCACAATGAACAAATATATAGATGTAGATATACATGTTTATCACTGACTATTCAGTGTCGTTTCACTCTAATCTGCCCCAAGGAATTTATTAACAACAACATGAGCTACTCTTGCCTTCTAGGGCAGGACGAAATACAGACTTGATATATAATTTATACATAATCTCAGGTGAGATTAATTCCACTTTGGGGAACATTTTTTGGATCAACTGCAGCTACTGCTTATACTGCTATATATATATACTGCTTATGCTGAACAGATAAAGTGCACAGAAAGACAGCATGAGACAGGGACTGAACACTTGCTGCTATATGTACTGTAACCAACAGTCTCCAGATCTGCCATTTCAACAGCACATTTTTGATCTGTGTAAGAAAGAAGCAGCTGACTTGCAGTTTCTTTTTGAAGTGAGACACTAATTCAATTTGAAAGATCAGTCTCCAGCATGCAACTCACAAGAGTTTTTGTATTGCACTGATAACACTGATGCACTGGTAACAGATTGAGATCAAATTTTAACATTATATGCATCTTTTTGCCTAGAGAATTAAATTCATTGGGTTAGCCAAGTCTACATTTTTCTAACAGCAATTCCAACAGAGGGCAGTACTCCCAATGAACTACGCTATTGTAATTTACTGGCATTCCCAAAGAGAGTTAGGCACAGAGTGTTCCTTTATTCTTTGTGAGATAGCAACAAGTCTTGAGGTCACAGGTTGCAGAATCATCTAATAAAGGCATGTAAACAGTGATCAAAAGAGCATATTTTAGATAATATCCTGCTATGGATTTTGTTTCCTCAGAAATACAAATAACTGCAGGAAATTTGCTGAAAAAAGGTTATTAAAAATCATCAGCTATTAATGAATATAGCCTCAAAGACTAGATTACTACTGTTAAATGTAGTGTCATATGAAAGCAAAATGAAATGCTAAAAAACCTATATTCATGAATTTAATTTTTATTAATTTTATTTTCCAATAACAGATTTTAAATAAGATTTGACTAAGACTGGGAGTAACATAAAAAAATAAAGGGATCTTTGCCTTTCTTGTCTCTTGGCCTGTCTTGTTGAGTCTCCCAAGGCAAACACAGCTGCTGTTGCTGTGCATTACTTTTCTTTCTTAGGTAAGGATTTTATTGTCTCAGCTTTGCAACAGAAGCTGTACATTTTTTGAGGAAGAATGCTACCTTATTATGTCCATATTTTAGCAATGAGTTCTTCACTGTAAAGCCTATCTAGTGTTCAAATTCACATGAACATTTGTTCACTGTAATAACTTTAATACAAGGCTGTAATTTAAATAATTTTATCGACAGTGGCTGTTATCATCTATTCACAAGCCTGGAGCACAGGCTACGGCTTCCACTTTTCCAAATGAGAAGCTTAAATGAGATGACAGACAAAGTGGCAATCTCCCTCTGTACAAACACACATGACAAGCTTCTGCTTGACTGGAACATTTCTGAAGCAAAGTTTTGTCAGCAACCGCCAATTTCTTGAGCTGAAAGCACTTTGCAAGAAGCACCAGTCTTAATTACATTTCACGCACTTTGTCCAGTCAGCTATGGCACACACTGTTACAGTCTGTTGGAAGTTGTTGTTTTTTCCTATCAAATCCTTTGTCTGGGACTTCAGGAGTTCTGTCTGCAAACTAGTCCAGGTATAGGACATCACCAACAACTTGCCATTTCCCTAGGTTTCTTAAACTGCAGGGTATTCTTGTTTCTCTTCCATGAGGGTTAGGCCTAGTGTGTATTTCTCATACCTCAGATGAATACAGGATTATTCTTGGGACTACCTAAACAGCCTCCAGTTAAACAAGTCCAGCACAGGTGTGAAAGATGGATTTTGCAGGATTTGGCTAGCTGTAATCTTATTTCCTATAGGTGAGTACAGCATATAAAACCAAATTGAGAGGTCTGCAATATTCACCCTTATTTTTCAACATATTCATGAAAGCTGTTTTCATGGATAAAATTGCAGTGGTTTAGTTTGGGGTTTTTTTCATTTTTTAAAATTAAATAAGTATCACAGAATCATAGAGTGGCCTTGGTTGGAATGGACCTTGGAAGATTATCTTGTTCCAACCTCCCCTGCCGTGGGCAGGGACACCTTCCACTAGACCAGGTTGTTCAAAGCCTCATCCAACCTGGCTTTGGACACTTCCAGGGATGAGGCATCCACAACTTCTCAGGGCAATCTGTTCCTGTGCCTTGCCACCCTTACCACAGTAAAGAATTTCTTACTAAGGTCTAATCTAAATCTACCACCTTTCAGTTTGAAGCCATTCCCCCTTGTCCTATCACTACATGCCCTTGTAAATAGGACCACTCCTGTGTTAAGTACACCTCCTTGATTGTTTCTAAGCTAACTTCTATGAACGAAAGTGATAAATCTTTATCAAAGACATCTTTCCTTCACACATGTTACTCGTGCCTTCAGTTTGAAGAGAAATGTGCCCTAAGCTATGACAAATTCTTATAGATAAAGGCTGATAGACTATACAATATAAAGAGTTATGTGTGAAAAGAGAAGCAAAATTAGATACTGAATATTTGTCTTCATAAATTAGACTTCAACCTTGTATGTTATATTCCTTCCTCAAAACATTGTCATTTCTTCCCGCATCGTGAACTAACTTCTGGTTTGCCCAATGACCCCTGCAAAAATTTGCCATGAAGGCAACAGGACTCAGTCCCTCCTGTAAGAAAATAGGTGCAGATCTCTACTTGCATATAGTGACCTTTCAGTTGTGTTTGTGTTGTTCAGAATCCTTCATGTGCAAGGAGGACAATAAGCTGTTTATCTTTGTTATACGAGGGCATTACACTAAGGTTTCTTGAACTTACAGATTTGATGTCAGGTTTCCAAGGGCTTAAATGCAGAAGGGACTGGACTTCAGTGCTATGGAGAATGTCATGAAACAGATGTGATGGCATTGTATGAAGAGTTAAAGCTGCCAAACATGTCATAAGGTTTGATAACTTCTTGCAACAATAACCTTTACAGAAAAATAAGTCCTACAAAGAAAGTAATTTCCAACTGGAGGAAATGCTTTTAAAGGAAATCATCAATTTCTGTCTCAAAGATTAACCTGAAGCTGCAACAGTAAAATTGTTTCACTTGAAAATGAGTGAACACGGTCACTAGTACATCCATCTCAAGGATCCTCCTGGCCATTTGCATTGACTTACCCGCTTATGAAGACGTTCTGCTTCCTCCTGATATGCAGCAAGTTGCTGTTTCCATTGTTTCACATTGGCAGTGGACTCCAGCAGGGCTGCTGTGAGCTTAGCGTTATTACCCTTGAGCGTGGCCAGTTCTGCCTCCCAGTGCTTGCTGATTGTCGAACTGCACAGACAGAATGAGAATGGTCAGAACTCCCAAATCTCTTCCTTTATGTTTTTTAAATATCTTATTTTTTTTCTATCCAGAAAAAAAGAGAATTACAGAAAAACTTATATAACCAACAATAACCAAATATAATATCTATTTGGTATATAACTAATACACCAAACAGAATAACCAAATGAGAATCCAAATGCTCAAATCATCAAAACTATAAATTAGGAAAATATAGGTAATACAATTATTGGAAAACAACATCTACCTTCCCAGTCCAACAGAGTATATTTATAAATAAAATGTTAAAGATCATGAAATCCACATCAGCTTGCCAAAAGCAACACCAGGCAATTCAAGAATATGTATATGATTAGTCACTCTTTTAATATATGCACATTGAAAGGAAGTGTTTTTTTAATCCACTACTTTATTAAATATGTTGTAGAAAAATATTTGTCATTGATTTGATTAAAGAGAGCTAATTGAGTGCTTTGCAAGTGCAGCTTTGTCTTAATGCAAGCCTTCCATTTCTGAAATACATTTTACTAAATACCATATTTAATTTGTTCTTGCAAATTCAAAGATCTTGAATTTCATAATACTGTTAATATGTTTTTCCTCACTAATATCAGCAAAGAGAGTAGAGATCAAGTAGGATGGATACACTACTGCATTACTTCAAGGTGGAAGCTGATGTTGAGGATTACTGAACTACCCTATAGAGAAAAATTCCTGCTTACAATTTAGTTGTTCTCTTAGCAAATATAGGGCTTTAATTTTCACAACTAATTAGTTTGCTATCATCTGCAGACCATATCTTTACACTCAGTATGCAAGGGAAAAGTATCTCAAGACACATCAGGTGAATGCATTATATGCATTATATGCAAATATCTCATTAATGTGTAGTCATATAATGCTAATATCAAGTGAGATGCACACTTACATGGACTGTATATACAGAAAATAATGAATTTTGTTTAATTAGCTCACTATTAAAGGCATCAATGAAAACTAAAATTCTGTAACTATGAGCAAAATGCCATTGTATGAAGAATTATTATAATATTATTATATATTCAAGCATATTTGTTAAAATTATTAAATTAATTATAATTCATTATTATTCTGAATGTAAGTTTATAGATTTATTTGAACTTTGTACACATGTATAATGAAATATTCTGCTGTCATTTTGCCCACTTAGTTTCTTTTTTCCTGCATATGCAAAGTCCATCCCATCAAAGCATATTTCAAAAATAAATGCTATAAAAATAAATCGTATAAATGCTCCTTAGGTGTTCAAAATGAATCAAGCACTGGGGAACTTTCATTACCTATTCAGACCATGTGTACTGTTTCACTAAAATATTATATCTGATTCTTCCATGGTCCAGCATTTTCTTCCAAACAGTGCTTTGTCCCCTTGAACAGAAATACAAATTCCTCCAGAAGAGGAATATGCCCCAGCATTTAATGACACAACTAATTACAAGTTCACAATTGGAAATTTTAAATCTTAAAGGACTAAACTAAAATAGTGATGCACACAAACTGATATAAGACAGCTGTATCTGAGGCAGTCAAAGGCTGAGAAATGTTTGATCATTCACTATCCTAAAGAAGTGAAAGGATTTTTTTTAATCTACTAATGTGTATATCTACAGTGATACCCTTCTAATCCATGAAGATCCCAGAGGCCAGGTTCTCAGGTAGTGATGAACAATAATGTGAGGGTGGTTAGTGGTGTGTATCACTTTCACCTTTGCCTGGTGCCCCTACTACAATGCCTCCCAAGAAAATAGCCAGGAGCTTTTACGTTATTCCTTGTATAATGGAATGTCAGTATGAAATATGAAGCATGTATTTTCTATTACTGCTATGGATACCCTAGTTCAAAAACTGTAAGGTTTCTTCGGATCTGGTTATTTTTTAATTGGTTATTCTCAACTGGAATGCATTATTTCTTAACTGTACTCTTTTTCCCTAAGGTACCTACATAGTCGGCAGGAACCTTCCTGTTGTAATACAGGTGTGAACTTGTTTGTAGTATATACTTGGGTTTTTTCTATGAATAATTGTTTCTTCTACAGATTCTACTACAGCCACATAATTACTTAAATTAGTCTAATTTTGTATTTGTTAATATACAATGACTTCCTAACTCTTTAGACTTACCCTGTTTCTTATTACTGGGAAAAACAGTTCCAAATGTCTGAATTTTTTTGGTTCATAAAATCACAATTTGATTAAAATAGCCCATAACCAGTTCTGACTGTTCTGACTTTCTTTTCACCAATACTTTCTTGAGATTATTAAAAAAAAAAAAAAAAAAGGAAAATAAAAACAACAAAGAAGATAATGAAATTATGTTCTGTGGATTACTTTGGTTAAAACTGGATTTAGATTAAGAACCAGATGAAGGCACACTTACAGCAGGGTGTTCTTAGGTTAGACTGAGAATATCTGCATTGAAGCCTGTATCTGTAGAGCTACTTTGGTTCAAATTTACCAAACCTTCCTGAACAAAGACTGGGAAACATGATTCAGGCACAAGGAAATTGACCTTTGGAGGAGGAGATGCTGAAGCTAACCCCTGAGAAAGGTAACACACTGATCAATAAGATGATGTTCACATGGAAAGTCCAAAGGGGTCCCAGAAACTGCTCAAGCACATAGCCAGAATTTTGATGATGGAACAGGTGCGCTACAGTCCCTTGGGATAGGTAAAGGAGAGCTGCACATATTCTTTCTCTCTAAAACCTTTTACTTAATTCCTGTCTGAAAGGCTTGCTGCTAAAAGGAATTGATTTTGTCCTCACTGCATTAGATTCTGTCACAGAAAATACATTCACAGCCCTGACAGGTTGTCTTAACAGTTGTAAATATCTAAATGTAATCTGAATCATCCCTCATGTGTTCTGAGACTATGTACCCTACAAAGCACTTGAAATATGTACACTTACTCAGCAATCACACTCATCCAAACAGTAATTTCTACCAGAGCACTTTCCAGCTCTGCAGTGTAGTAGAAAGCTGTGTATAAACATTGAGGGACACACAGTCATACACACTTGCACTCCTGTGGTGCAAGAATTCAACCTAGGCGCATACATGTTTTATTTTCTACTGAAAGCCATCCATCCCTTTGCTGGCAATGTCACAATTTTAACAGTTATTTCTTGAAACCTGTCAGAATTAACATCACTGACTGCCTGACAAGCCCAAAGTTTCAAGACAGTCCTTCAAAAAAAGAAACATTTTTAACACTAGCTTGTTGCCAGATTTTCAGCATAAAAAGCTACACAAAAGTTTTAAAAATACCCTAATAGAGAATAAAGCCTAGTCATGTCCCCTGTGAAACTTCAGAACATCTGAAAAGACAAGGACAAAATGTTTAGCCTAAATCAAACTGGTGCCAAATACGAGAGAGAAAGGGGTGCTCTAAAGAATCATAGCAAATTTTCTATTTTATTTGCTCAACTACCATGCTAATACAAAAATAAAAACAAACAAAAATGAACAAACAAACAAACAACAACAACAACAACAACAAACTTTCATGGGATTTCAAGCACCCTTTATTGAGCAAAAGGTCAAAACTCTCCTGAATCCCATGTCCTTGGTTTTGGCCACAGTATCTGGCATATGTGTAACATCAGCTGTGTCTACAGTCAGAGCACCACATGGTGCCCCACTGTCAAGGCAAAGGATTCAAAATCAGATATTTAACATCTGTGACATCCGGTAATTCAATCGTTTTCACAAAACACTCCTAGAAAAAATGCTGGCTGGTACCGCTTAACTTAGCTGTGATACCCTCTGAAAACTGAAGTTTAAGTCAGCTATCTTCCTTCCATACATTTAGGTATTCTGACCAATTAACATCAGGCCAATCTCCTCTCTCACTGGGGATTAGTTACAAGCCCAGTAAGTCACTGAGGAATAGCTTTGGTATCTGTCCATCTGTGACCTGAATAGTGTGCCAGAGGCTATAAATGCATGATTATCTTTCTCTGCAAAGTAGGTCACTTAAGGAAAATTAATCCGAAAAGCTCCAGCCACCACATTTAGCCAGTTGGAGAAGGCTTGCGAAGGGAAGGGGCGATAAGCACACATTTATGAGCTCCATTCAGAATGATGTTATTTTGAGAAATGTTTTCATGACACAAAGAAACAAAAGCACTTCAAACTATGTTTCTGCTTTCTGAATCATAATTGCTTATTCACTGTTCCCTTAGTTGAATGCAGTGCCAACACTGTGAAACATGGTTTTAGGCTTATTTCAGATTTATAGCAATAAAATGTACAAGTAATTCCACTTTATTAATATTTAGAGGGCTTCATATTGCATTCATTGAATAAAATTAATTAGTTTAAAATATGTTCTATAGCATAGTCATGGTTTCAAGAAATTACTGTTATTCAGGATAAATTATTTTCGTGAGGTGTCACTGTGATCTGCTTGGCAGGTATGTGGTGAGCAATCCTGTCTTGGAAAAACAGAGGTAAAGACTTCAGCCAACTTTCGACATAAAATGTGGATTCTGGTATAATAACTAAATCCATAAGACTTGAAAAATATGAACAGAGCAGAGTACTGGTAGCTGTCCAGATCACAAATAGCGGCATGTGCTGGAAGCAGCCCAAGAGTCTGGAGGAGTGGGCATTATCAAGCAGAGGGAGTGGTATGTCAACCAACCGGTAACAGCACATTAGCTGAGCTGGCAGCAAGGAGTGACCCCTTCTGACAGCTGGGCTGGTAAGCCTTACAGAGCAGCTCCTCATGCTCAACAAAGCACAGGGCCATTGGGAAACATTTGGTTCTGTTGCAATAGCATCTGAGAGATCCAGTGAATGCGAAGCATCGCTTCTTCTCCTTGGAAGGGTAAGGCAAGTGTTTGAGTTTATGTAAAATTCCCTGGTGCACTTGGAAAGGAATTCTGCAAAAGGACCTTATGAAATCTCCCATATCAAGTAAGCTTCAGTTAATGCTGAAGGCTGGA